TCTTATGGATGGTCTTGCTGAGGCTATGCAGAATAATATCCGCCGAGTGTATGCATTCACTGACTCTGAGTTGTTATATGGTCAGGTGAGTCTCTCTAATGACAAGATTTGTTTATCCTGCTTCTACAATGCAGACACAACTCACTATGATTATGTAATTTGGTGAATACCTGAATGAAAATCTTTGTGATAAAAGCATTGCCTAAGCATTTTAATTTGTGAAATCACGGTGTGGCTTTGATAGCGTGTTTCTGCATCAAAAGAAAGAAAACAATCGTTGTAGAAATAATTTCTGGCCTTAAAAAAAGAGCTCACGTCACTTTATTGCTGTCATTATTATTCATGGTACAAGACCAGGGCATGTTTTTATTTTCCTTGTATAAATCCGGAGCTTTAAAGAATTCCACATTCAGTATTCTGGATAGGGGAAAATATATTTTGGTTTGGTGTCTCTATGGTAGACTCCTATCTTTAATTTACTGAGACCAGCTTTATTTGCTATTCTATTAATAGTTGCCTGCTGTTCTTTGATCACTGCAGCCACTCAAGTTTAGGGAAAAAAAAACAGCAGGGGTGATTCTGATTGCTATATGCTGTGTTACTAATTGTCTTCAGTGGAACGAAATTGTAGTTTGATTTTTTTCACCACTGATTTATTCTGGAACAGTAAGCTCTTTCTGATTGTAGTTTTTATCTCTCATGGCTTTAATGTGTGTGCTAAAGCATTCACCACCATTTCACCTTGTTGACACCATCTATTGCAACCCTGACACCAAATATCTTGTCTTGTACATGCTCTCCACTAGGCTTTAGTTGATTTTAACTTCTGACAGATTACAAATGAGGAGAAACTCAAGGTTCCACTTCTGATAGCGCTGAGGCAAAGGATCCTTGAACATGTCAGCAACCTGGAAACTTTCATTCTGAAACTCAGTCCTAGCTTTGATCTTGAGAGGCCATTACGCTTAGCACAGGTAGCAGTTGGGGTTGTTTCTTTTCCGGCCAATGGGAGTGAATCCCGTGATAACTGTTCTATCTGTTGTGAGGATAAGATATCAGCAATGATGATAAAAATGAAATGTTCCCACAAATTCTGCTCGCATTGTATGAGGACCTATGTTGATGGAAAAGTACAGTCATCTCAAGTACCAATCAGATGCCCTCAGTCAGGATGCAAATATTGCATTTCCATCAATGAATGCAGATCATTTCTTCCTCTCATTTCTTATGGATCCCTGGAGAAAGCGCTGGCTGAAGCTGATATTCTCCATTCAGATAGAATCTACTGCCCCTATCCAAATTGTTCTGTCCTGCTTGATCCTCGAGAATGTTTGTCAGCTAGGGCAAGTTCATCAAGTCAGTCTGATAATACATGTATTGAGTGCCCTGTTTGTCAAAGGTTTATCTGTGTGAAATGTAGCGTTCCTTGGCATTCTTCCATGAGCTGTGAAGAGTTCCAGAACCTCCCATTAGAGGAAAGGGATGCTACAGACATTACATTGCATCGTCTGGCACAAAATAAAAGATGGAGGCGTTGTCAACAGTGCCGCAGGATGATTGAGCTCTCTCAAGGTTGCTATCATATGACCTGCTGGTAAGTTACATGGGCTCCTTTTTGGGTTTCTTTCTTTATGGTTACAGGTTAATCTGTCAACTCCATGTTTTATTCTTAAAAATCAAGTAATAGAAAGAACCGCGATGCTGGTAATTTATTAACTGTAGAGGCATCTGTTGTGATCCTGATAATGATGTCTCTTCCTCTGCTAACTGTATAATGAAAAACCTAAAACACCCATATGTTTTTCGGTGTCTCTACCATATCATTGCAGAAATAATACTGTTAAGAGAGGACATAATTATGTGAAAGAAGCTTTCATTTAGTTGATCCAAGTTACTTGATCTTGGAGGAATGAAATTTGGCAGTTTTTACTGAGGAGCTTCAACAGGTCATTGTGTTAAAAATCCTTTCTATCCTAGCGTTAAAAATATTCAATGGCCGTAGATGGTCATCCATATGAGACAGCTTTGAGGACACGCTAATGGTTCAGTTTATTTTATGTCTTGCACTTGGAGTTGAGATCAATATAAGTTAACTTACTATTAACTGCCGGTCACATCGATAGCATTCTTTGCTTTTGATCATGTAAATTGGTTTCCTTGAATCCTCTGCTTGTGCGCATGTAACAATCATTTGCATATTTATGTATTAAAGTGGTAATAGAGAGCTTGGCTGCATTTGCTTCTTTAACTGCATGGTTTCTATAGTTCTTAACTCCAAATCTGCTCTATTTTCCTAGGTGTGGGCATGAGTTCTGTTATTCTTGCGGTGCTGAATACAGGGACAGGCAACAGACCTGTCAATGTGTCTTTTGGGATGATGAACATTCTGAAGATTTGGTCACCCAATCATTTCAAGAATCAGAACAATGGGCATGGGAGACTTTTAATTCACTACCCATGCTTATGGATGCATACTCAGAACAAGAGAGATCGCAGCTGGCACTAATTCAAAGATTCCTTGCTGGGGGTTTCAGTCTGAGTGACCACCATCCATACCAATCTCCACCCCGCTGTACAGACTCATATGTAGATGCCATAAAGGATCTTCATCAGCTTCCTTGGCTTGAGAGGTTTGTCTCTGTAATAAGCGACAATTACTATGAAGACTATATCTAATGAAAGCTAATATAGGACTGCTAATAAACTAGGAAAAAAGTTGCTTATCTTCTCAACAATGCTTAAGGGAGGTAAAAGAGCTTCTCACTCTATTTACTCCATTTGCATTTACATGAGAAGTGCAGAAATTGGCGCTTCCTTTTCCTTTATAGCCTTTTCATCATCACTGCTGGATGGACGTGTGACCTTCTTGAAGGTCCATAAGATGGAAGCAGAAGAATGCATGCTTGATTCATTGTATTCATCTAGAAAGAAACAGAAAATAGATAAAACATTTACTACATTCGTAAATTGAAAGAAAATGAAAAGGATGGTAATCTTTTCCTTTCTCTCTATTGTGAATTCTTGTAATGAAGGGAAGGTTTTACTTTTAGTGGTTGGAAGTTGTTGAAATACGTAGTTAAATCGAGCTTGTTAAACACGCACAGCAATATGCTTGTCTTGAGTAATTGTGTGGTGTCACTGTTGCATCTTTTCTTCCCAGTCTCTCCTGAGAATTTGGGCATGATATCAATTGGTTCGTGCTCCCACCTCGGGCAGGGTTGGGAGGGTAGGGCCTCTTAGGATCAGAAACTAAGTACCAAAAAGGGAGCCTTTTATCAATCACTGTAATATGACAATCTTATCAGTTTGACTCATTATGTTTCCTAAATAAATTTATATAAAATGCTTAAACATATGGTTCACTTTTGTAATTTCTTCAGTTTAAACAGTTTCGGAACATCATCCAAAATATTTCAATGCCTAGCGTGCAAGATTGCTACCTCTAGGAATTTTCTTAGCAAATATGTACATAAACTTATTGGATCACACAATTTCCAACAACGGAAGTTCAATCATCTTAAAATCAAGAGAATGGACCAATAAAATTCCTTTGCTGGCCGCGCATCATTGGACCCGCTGGAGATTTTGATTCGTTGATGGTTTCTGACGCAATGCAGTGTTGAAACTAACCTGTTAATGCACTTAGGCATATTGGATCATTTGGTCAAAACATAAGTCACCATGAAAACTTGTTATCAATTGAGTTCTCTCATGGAACAAGAATTGAAGCATTGGAGTCCACCATCTAAACACTCCAAACACAAGAATAAAGGAAGAATCGCATGGAGAAGATGGTTATGAAGCTTCTAAATCAGCGCAACAAAAGTTATGCCACAAGAAACCTTCAGTCAACAGTGATTCGGTCTCAAATCAGGTTCGGGGGAAGAAGTTTTTTCGACTATAATTTTGAAGTAAAAGAAATCTCCTAATCGTCCTCATTGATGGCAGAAGTTTTTCTTCGAGTTCAGCAAGCCAACTGGGGGGGCATGAGGACCGTTTGGTCAAGATAAATCTGGTCAGCACAGAAACATCACGGTGCCGTCTTTTTGGATGTGCACCGGTTATGGCTGTGTCAATTTCACAAGCCGTACATCCTGCCTTCAGTGCAACGAGCTGCGAGCGGATGGTGCACCACCAGCAGATATAGCATTTATTGAATCCACCATCCTTAGGAAAGTAAGGATAGGCAGGTCTAACTCATGTTTTGTTTGTTCACGGCTGGGATGAAAATGCGGATGAGGTGATGCTTCGATATGAATTTTCCGAACATGCTCCAATCAAGGATCTTCATTTCAACTGGTTAGAGACAAGTTTTCTCATGTTTCAAGGGTATTTGCGTTTGTACATTTCCCTTCGGTTGATGATGCGACCAATGGAACCACTCTTGAGAAGAACGGGCAGATCTTAGGAGTGGCGCATGCAAAGAGCATTCTTGGCCCAGGGGAATCAGGATAGTCGCAGTCAAGCAGCTGCTTCAATTGAGGCAGCGGCATTTACACAACAGTATGATGCTGTTGGATGGGCGCTCAAGGAATATCACCCAGATGAAAATCATCAGCCTGTATGCAGGACCAAGCTGGTGAGGAGATTACAGTTCAAAGGTTCAGCTCCACAACCTGGGTTTTGATGGAACGAAGCATCTGGTTATGACTACGATGCTGCTTCGGGCTTCTACTTTGATGGAAATACATGTCTTTATTATGATGCCAATCAAGGGGTTTGGTACTCGTATGACCAGCAAACTCACCAGTACATCCCTTTTCTTTCACAGATAACAATGACAATAAAGCATCTGGTTCCAGTTCTGTACGGGAAGGAGATGTTTTTGGGGTGATTTGGAGGAAGAATGGGAGGAGAGGAGGAGGAGGATGAAAGAATCGGCGGAAGAAGAATTATCATTAGCTTTGAAAAATACCAGCACGAATTCTCGGTTGGGAGGTGGGACTAGTGATGCTCTTTCTGAAAGTGATCTTGAGGACACCATGTATAACATCCAAAGATGAGTAAATCTTTCAAAGAAATGCAGCCATTCATGGACACTCTTCCAATGGTGATTTAGTACCATAGGTAAAACATGTGGAGAAAGTTTGTGTCTAAGGCCCTAAGGAACTAAAATATCAATCTCTATGAAATTCTATAAATAAACTAATTGAAAAAATTTAAACATAAGTAACTACAGAAAAGTAAAGTGTATTTGGTTTATACTGCTATCTTGAAATTCTATATCCTTGACTTTCATTAGAGAAAAAGCTGCCGAAACTACACCAACCAATTTCCACAAGATCTCATTCGAGGTTTCAGAACCAAGTGGTTGTATCGGTGATTTCGTGCAATAATCTTCAACAGGTGATGATATTAGAACCATAGCTGATTGCTTTGAGGCTTGAGTCAGACATATTTGTCATCCATTTATGAGGACCATTGGATTCCCCCAATATATTGTATGCATATGAAGGCCATCTTACATCTGCGCCACACGAGCTTGTAACGCCCATTCTAATCATCTTCTGTGTTCTCTCGAGAGCTACGAGGCTTGAAAACGTTGAGAAACTGTTCCCAACAAAAACATCAGCCTTTGAGCAAACTTCATAATCTATTGCGGACTGAATGAGATAGGGGTATTTCTTATAAATTCCATCGACACCGAGTTTATTCTTCTCAACAGGAAGCAAACCTTCCTTCCACCCTGTGAGTACAGAAGAATCCTCAAGAAGACTATCGGCTACAGCGAGATAAATAACAGTAGGACCTTTTAGGCCTACAATGTTCCCCACTCTCTCCATAATCTCCCGCTTGCTGCTACAGATTTCACTAACATTTAATTTCCGCTCTAACTTCTTGCAGTGAACCATCCAATCAATCTCTATCCTCATGTGAACTGCCACGTAAGGCACTGGCTCCAACAGAGAGCTATCAGGACTAAAATCGCTTTGAGCGGAGCCAATTCTGCTGCTCATTTCCTTTCCTACTTCTCTAATCTTTGAAACAACTCTATCTGCCTCTCTAGCTATCTCATCAACCAAAACTAAGCATTCAAAGACCCTGGCATAGTCCTTAACAGGCCAATGATCATGCCACAAAAACGGATTCTTCCCAACTATTCTAATTACCTCATATCCATCAAATGGATCCTTGCTAAGCTGTTTCAGTTGATCCAAATCCCTCTCAACAGTCCACTTCCTCCCACTTCCCTTCTGCAGCTCATACACTCCAGTTTGATTCCTAAGGTCTGAATAACTGCCCAACTGCACAAACCCATTACAGAAGGAGTTAAACCTCTCAAATTGGAACACCTTATCAAAGGAAATAGGCTGGAGGCGATCTATTTCCTTATAGAACAGGGAGGCTCTTAAACTAGGCATTAGCAGAGTTCGGTTCA